CTTATTCGTAACTGTGATGCTTTCGTGTAATTATATTTCACTTCTGTTTTTTTTTCAGCATATATCCACCTTCTTGAGCAGCGAGGCAAATTTTGAAGATAATCAAGCTACAGCTGCATAAAGAAGGATGCACATGGGATGCCGTACCGCAAGAGGTGAGAGACTTTTATTGGGAGGAATTCCAGGTACTCTTTGGTTTAAGTTATATCATCATTCAATGTTTACAATTCAAGATACATCCTTAGTATTTAAACGCTATATTTTTGAAATGCTATTTTTCATTTTTTGCAGAAACATTTCATATGGGATGCATTACGGCTATGCTGAAAGTAGCCTGGGAGAAGATATGCGCCGATCGATACGCTGACTTCACCTATAGGATGAGAAGAAGCGGTAAGAAACAACGGTGCGTGTCTCAGGAGATATGGGAGAGCTGGCAAAAGGCTTGGGAGGATCCTGCATTCAAGAGAAAGCGGGAGATGTTTGCACAAAACAGGCGCATTTGCACAAAACAGGCATAGTGAGACTGGCGGTGATGGAGTAGGACCTTCTCGACACACAGGCGGATCAATATCTGCTATAGAGACAACTCGATTATTAGTAAGTAAACTAGTCACAGTATATGAAACTGATGTTTAATGAAAGGACACTATCTATATTAATATATCATGCATAAAAATTCATTATAGGCTAAAGAATTTGGTCGTGAGCCAACACCGATTGAGGTGTTTACATATACTCACACGAAGGACCACGATCTTAATACGTTTGTCGACAGACGTGCGCTGAGCGTCAATGTAAGTAACAATGAATTCCCTAATCATGCGAAAGATGTTACAAAGTTGAATATAATAAAGCTTGCAATTGCATTTGATTAATTGATTTTTTGTTTTTTTCAGGAGAATTATACTAACAGCTCGGGAGCGTATTGTTACTTCTCAGACCGATGAATCTGAAGCTGAGTCAAGATTGACCGACGGTAACGCTTTATTCTCGAGGCTGTAGCGGGGGACGAGAAGAAGAGAATATGGATATGGCATCGGGTCTCAGGCATCACAGTTTTACAACTGGCATCAGCAGCTCCACGCTTCTACAGCCAGCGCAGCCACGACAGTCTGAGCACCACAACTCGCATGTTATGATGATGAATATACGGGCTCAGGCTTGCTGATCAGCAGAGACAGATTGCAGAGCTTTAGGAGCGCATGTGGATGCGGCTGTCCGGTGAGGCCCCGTGCTGGTACTCCTCTGATCTGCGCCTGCTACAACCGACATGTTTTGACGGTCTCAAGCAGCAGCCACTTCCTGCTCCTGATCCCGATGCTGCAGACGATTACCTTTGGTCACCCCTCCTTGGCGCTACATCACATCCAGCAGTACCCCCCGGCGATCCGACATCGGGATCCTGTAGATGATGCAGCAGTATAGATTTGATTTTGGACCTTTTTAGTTTTTTATTTGTATTTTTGATATTTTAATTTTGTTTCAGCCACAATAAAATTACAATTTTACATTGTTCTTGAATTGCGTGTTTGTATATTGTATATATGTCAATTTTTCACAGGTTGCGGAAAAATTTTTGGTTTTATAATAATTATTTTAATTTTTTTTAATTTTGCGGACCGATTTTTGCGACCGATTTGATACCGAAATTTACAATTTAAATAACATTTGCCGGAACCGATTTGCGACCAATTTAAAACATTTGCGACCGTTTTTCCCTGCGACCATATTAGCGACTGAATTTCAAATTAAAACCACGACCAACTTTGCGACCAATTTAAAACATTTGCGACCGTTTTTCCTGCGACCATATTAGCGACTGAATTTCAAATTAAACCACGACCAACAATTGCGACCGATAAATTTATATCGGTCGCAAATTTGCGACCGATGGAATAATCGGTCGCAAAAAATATTTGCGACCACGTATTTTGCGATAGAAATATGTCGGTCTCAGTTCGGTCGCAAAAGTAAATTTGCGACCGATATTAGCCATTTTGCGACCGATTTGTCAGTCGCAAAATGGCGTTTTTCTTGTAGTGAGTATGCTTCTTTGTATTTAAGAAAAGTTATATCTTGAGTATTACCATGCCTTTTAAATGATGGTAGGCCCTTGTTTCAAGATGATTTATATGTGTGCCAAGTTGGTTTGAATACCCTTGCTAAGTCTTGAGAAATGGTGAATTTCCTATGACTTAAATCATAGGGATTTTTGGAAAATTGAATGAGAATATGCATGCTTTAAGTAACTACTTTTCTTTAAGTATAATAAATGATTCGAATGAGTTGAATGTGAATTATGAAATTTTTATGGTAAAAATCACATTTATGACTTGTAACTTCTTATAACTTAGAAACGTCAAATCTCCGAGTAATTGCTTAAGTATATGCATGCTTAGAGTTTCATTATGCTTTTAAGTATATAACTGATGTTTTGGTTGAATTACATGAGAAACGTATGGCTCACATGATGAAAGCCCCTTTTTATGCTATACTTTTCATATATCATGAAATTTATGAACTTTGGAAATTTGTATAAGACTTTGCATGTTTGGAGTATAACTATGCTTCTAAGGATATAATTAAGGCTTTAATCGATTTGTATGTAAAAAGGAAGATTTATATGATAAAAATCACGTGAATGATATGTACTTTTCCTACAATTTGAAATATGAGAAATTCATATGCTTTTATGATTTTACTTGAATTTGAGTTAAGTAATTTATATAAGATGGAGTATATTAAAAGAAAGTAAAGTTTAAATTTTGGGAAAATGCTTTTAATGAATCTTTGGAAATGAGTATTTTTCCTATGAGTAAAAAATTAGAACTGTCGGGAAAATTTTTAAAGAACTATTTATGAATTGAGGTTGTTTAAAGTTTTCAAGGCTCATTTGAGATTTGAAAGTTTCCATGAGTCCTTAAGTATGATTCTTGTACATAATAAGTGTTAATAAAATATAATTACCATTTATAAGCTCATGAGTGTTTATGATATACTTTATGAGATTTTCCAACCATATTGGTTATTCTTAGGTTATATGACCTATAAGTAGCTTTCATAGGACTTGTAGCTTTTTCATGCCTTTATGTATATATGCTTAAGATTTATGACTTGATATATATGAGTATATATTATTATATATGAGATTTAGAATAATGTATAAATATGTGGATTTTATCATAATTGTTTGGATTTAAGACATATAGAACTTTCTGAGTGTAAATAGCCTCAAGGACATGAACTGAGATAAATCATGTATAAGCTACGTTCTATCTTAACAAGTAAAGTTTGTAAGTGATCATGTAGCTTAAAGAAAGAAAGTAAGTTTTTGGGCTTTGATTATACTTAGTGTGAATTAGATGCTTGATTAAGATTATTCTGATTATGAGCATGTTCCGCATAATGATGCCACTCTGATTATCTAGATATAGATATGATCATATGTTTGGCACATGGATTCGCCTAACATACGACACGATTATGTCAGCATGAGTATGACCCATTTAATATTGTGTCGAATTTATCGATACGTACATGATACTAAAATTAGGCAAGTGACATGAACACGACATGTATAACCCGCCTAATATCATAAATAGGTTAAGTGGATCGTGTTGACCTGTACATGACCCACTTAATATGCTTATAATGTTTTTAATTTTTAACCTATTTCACTCAAATCATATTTAAAAATAATTTTTCATACATAAAATGCATGGATTTTTTAAGATTCATAATTGAAATAAAAAAATTAATACAACAATTAAGTTTAGACAGGATTTTAATAGAAATATTTTTATCTGACAATAAAATTACATTTTTATTCTTAAATAAATGGGTCGTTTGCCTAATCCGTGACACGCTACGTTTATATTCGTGTCATTAATAAGTGATCCGTTTACGACATAAATCTGTTTAAACTCAATCCTAACCCGTCATATTCACTTATCATGACCCATTTTGATACCCATATATTACGTTAATACTTTGACATGTTCTCTACTCCTTTGATCATTTTTTTCCTTGGTGGACTCGGGTATAACATAACAATTTTTGGACTAGATTTGACTTTAGGATTATAATATTTAAGATTGGACTGAGATTAAATTGAATTGTAAAATATGCAAGTGTGATTGAGTATAACTGGGGTCGAGTATTCGATCAATTTGAATAATATTTTTAACAAAAATTAATTAAATGAAATTTTTGGAATTAATTGAACTAATCTTTTAATTGAATTATTAAAAAAATAGAATTACTTTAGCCAAATTAATTTTGATTACTAACTGCCCTGAAGTTAAAAAAAATTAAAATCTAATTGACCATCAAATTTAATTAAAATTTGGCGTTCATTCAACTTTAATCGAGATAAAAATAATTGAAATTGTTAAATTAAAAAAATTAATTGCAATATTTTTAATTTTTATTTACTTAATAAAAATAACATAGTTTTGAGGAGTAAAGTAACGTGATTAATTTTGTTTGATTAATAAATTTAACTTAACCTTTAACCGATTACTAAAAATTTGATTTTCTTTAATGGAACCATTATTCATTAAATTAAATTGATTGAATTGATAGAGTTAATTAAATTAACCGATTTGACTGAATTAATCAAATTAATAACATACCAAAACATAGCGTAACAGTAAAAATATATATACGACTGTACTATAAATTTAAATTTAAATCTTTCGTCCTATGATGAGAAATCCCTCAACTTTGCCATACCCCGAGCCCGCGCTTTAGCGCCGTTAATTTCAATATCCCGCCAAGACCCGTGGCATTTTCCATCCCTAATGGGCCCATGTCATTTGAATATCTCCTTTATCACTTCTGGTCAGCGAAGTCAGACTCACGCTCACGCTTTTTTTTTTTTTTTTTTTACCTTTCTGGTCAGCGAAGTTCAGGACTCACGCTCACGCTTTTTTTTTTTTTTTTCTCTCTTCTGAGTGCAGGTTCATTCGTTTTCTTGAACCATTTGTCGTTTTTTTTTTTTTTTTTTTCTCTCTTCTGAGTGCAGTTCATTCGTTCTTGAACCATTTGTCGCTAGTTACAGAAAAAAAATAGAGCTCCATTGTCCAAACAAACTAATAAAGCCTCAATCTTTGTTTGTCAATGAAATCTAGATCCAAATCTTTAACTACGTCGCTGGTTGGAATTGAAGGCGAACCAGTGCCTCTGCAAATTTGTATTCCTGAATTTCCTTTGAGAAGATCCCCAAGATTCTTTCTTTCTCCTAAATTGCACAATGTAGGCTCAATAATTCTAAAATCAAACCCCATTTCGGAACCTGAGTATTGCTTCAGACGATCGCCGAGATTCTCAAGCTGTTCGCCCATGGAAGGCGATGCTCCTCGAGGCGTTTCGTTGGTTCAGGTGCGTTTCGGATTTTCTTGGACTTTTGCATGTTTTGGCAGAGAAAATACAATGCCCTGTTTCGCTGCCCAGAAAAAGTAGATAAGAAAATGGATTTATTTGTTCTTTGAATTAGAGAATCTCAATGACAATATTTAACATTTTGTCTATTTTACATTTTTACTGCAGAGTCAAAGTCAAAGCTTGACGGTAGAGTAAGTAGTAATTTCTAATCAGTTAGATTGAATTATTTATTTCCCTTAGCGATAGTTGAAATAAATATATTGTCATTGTAGAGAAGAAAAGATTTGGAAAAAGAAATTCTCCACGGAGACGGCGTTGCGCAGAACTCCTGGATTGTCTTCAGCTGGAACTGAGAGCAGCTCGTCAAAACCTACATTGCCCAAAATAAGGGCATCCACAAAATTGGAAGCAAAACCATTGCATCCATGGGTTGGTGCTGGTGTGATCAATTTAAGAAGGTCTCCAAGATTCACGCTGCAAACCAAAGAAGATGTCGATGATGATTTTTTAAGACAATGCAGTAAAAAATGTTCGAAAAATTTCCTACAGCCCAACGGGGTTCACAACATTGAACTAAATTCTGATGGCTGTGGATTGTCTAATTCTTTTGATGAACAGCAACCCTTTAAGAGGATTAAGACCTTTTCAGAGAATTCTGATTTAGGAATGTCTGATAATAAGTTCTTGAGGCAATCTCGCAGAATAAGCAGCTCTGCTTTTAGAGTTCAAAACGGCAAAACGAATGCTAGTTCAGTTGAGCTGCCTAAGTCCGCTCGGAAGCACTCTCCAAAAAATAAGTCAGATAAACAACATTCTCCAGAGAAAATTAAGCCCATGTCCTCAAAGAAGAAGCAGAAGAAACACAAAAGCATTTGTTCTCTAATTGGAGATCCTGTCCCCCATAATGAAGCGCAAGAAAGGTGGCATTGGCGGTATGAAATTAAGGTGGTCAACCTTTCTGCTCTGCTTTTCTTTTCCCCAGGCAATCAGACTCTTTAAATATTTTGCTCTTCTTATGCACTTGTCAAAACTAGGTTGTTTAATTAATAATTATAACAAGCATATTATAATTAATAATTATAACCGTTAGTTGTTGTCATATTATTGTATACTAAGTGTTGGACATGGAAGGACAATGTTTCCTGATTTTCTAGCATGTTGAATATGGAATATAAAGTTTTCTACAAGTCCAAATTGTGTGTATAACCAACTAAAGTTATTAAGTACAGCCAAAATGTAGAGATCTTTCCTTTTTTCAAAAACCTTTGTTGTTCAAGGAGTTCAATTTTAGAAATTGATTGATGAAGATGGAATGCAATTAGGATTTATTTGCAATAATGTTATTTTAGTTTACAATTTAGATTTTTTTGTCTCTCTCTTTCCTTTTCTCTCCTTCAATGGTTTTTGTTGTTGTTCACTTGTTTTCTACTTTATTTGTTTGTTATCTTCTGCATCAAGTGGTAAAAAGAGCAATCAACCCAATCTCCAAACTGACCTCTTAAAACTCTATTTTGAACCTTAGATTTTCCATTGAAGGAAATTTATTAAAGTGAGAGATAAAAACATTTGTAGCTTCAAACCATATTCTGTTTGCAATTCCATTGTATCATAGGAGATCAATCTTTCACTTATATAGATAGACCTACTAGGAAAACATCATTTTGCCACTTAAGATCTCAGTGACCATGATCAACTCGTATGATTGAGCCTATGAATATTGTTAAGGACTAGTTGTAAATAGAGTTCTGTTAGGAGTTAGATTCTTAATAGGTTTATAGCATCCTGTATATGTATATATATGTGTCCCTATTGATGAAAATACAATAACAATATTTTTTAGGTTTATAGCATCCTGTATATGTATATATATGTGTCCCTATTGATGAAAATACAATAACAATATTTTTTCCACATTGAATTACATGGTATCAAAGCTGGGGGGCTCGTTAATTTTTTTTTTTCTATGCTCTTTTGCGTTGAAACTACAGGCAGAGTGTGTTTTTTGATGACTGTCAGTCTAGGTCACCCACATAGGCTGGTGTTCTTGTCTCACCGCCACTCAAGGAAGAAGGGCAGGCCGCTGATCGGCTCTCCCTCCAAATCCAGTCACTGGAATCCTCGCGAGTGGGCTTCACGCGCCACTCATATTTTTCCGTTCTTCTTCAAGCGCCGGCGCGTCCGGCCATCTCCTGTCACCGGCTCTCAGTTTCCGGCGTCGATTTTGCCAGTACAGTGCAACTCAGTGTGTTGCGTTGGCCCTCTTTGACTTTTGTGATGTTTTTCGTGCTGCACCTTTGCTGTCGCTTTGCCAGGTACAGTCTGAATTTGTGAATTTATATTCTGCTGCTGCCTATTTGCTATTCTGCTATCAAGTTACCAAGAATCGTAGTTTTCCTTTGCTGTGCTACATTTGTTTTTTGAACGTTTAATCACAAATCATGACGATTACTCCACCGGAGACTTCCGAATCGAAACCTGTCATTACTGATGTGGTCCATTATTGAATAAAATAACGGAACACAACTTATTGGCTCCAATTTTCTGGCATGGAGTAAAACAGTTTGTATATATTTTCGTAGTTTGGATAAGGATGACCACTTGACCAATGATACACCTGAATGAGATGCTAGGCAAATCTGGCTTAGAGAGGATGCTCGGTTATTTTTACAGCTTCGGAATTCGATTGACAATGAGGTAATTGGTTTAATTAATCATTGTGATTTTGTTAAGGAATTGATGGACTTATCTTGAATTTTTGTACTCGAGAGAAGGTAATTTATCTCGGATGTATGAGGTCTGCAAAGGATTTTATCGGGCCGACCAGCAAGGAGGTCTGCAAAGGATTTTATCGGGCCGACCAGCAAGATAAACTCCTCACAACTTATTTCATGGAATTTAAGAAGATTTACGAGGAACTTAATGTTTTATTGCCTTTTAGCCTTGATGTTAAGGTTCAACAGACTCAGCGAGAATAAATGGCTGTAATGAGTTTTCTTGTAGGTCTTGCGCCGGTTTTTGAAACTGCCAAATCACAGGTTCTTTCAGGCAGTGACGTTACCTCTCTTCAGGAGACTTTCGCTAGATTACTACGTATTGAAGGTTCTCGTACCCCTTCCCTTATGATAATAGTGTCCTTGTGAGTCGTTATCAGATAGTTAGATAGCCAGGAAACAGAGGAAGAGGAAATAAACTGTAGTAATGGAACAATTAATCGGGAGGCAAGCATTCTTATCTATCATTATTGCCATGAACTTGGTCACACTAAACGGTATTGTAAGAAACTGATAAATAAGCTGCCAAGGGCAAATATGGCCACTCAAGATTCTGCAGTTACTTCTTCTGAGAACACTATAACAATTTTTGCTACGGAGTATGTTGAGCTCTCTAGAGACCGTTCCTCTAAGTCTACTGATTCCTCAATTGCTGCTGCTGTCAATTTAGGCACTCTTACTACATGTCTTATGTCTACCTCATCAGAGTGGGTCATTGATTCTGGTTGTACAGATCACATGACAGGTAACCCTAGTCTCTTATCCTCAATAAAAGAACCTGAACAATTTAATCATCATGTTACTCTAGCTGATGGGTCCACATCTTTTGTCAAGTGTGTTGGCACCACCAATCCCATCCCAATTCTTTCGTTGTCTTTTGTTTTTTGTTTGCCTCGTTTTTCGTTCAATCTATTATCTGTTAGCAAAATTACTCGTCTACTATATTGTTGTGTTAAATTTTATCCTACCTATTGTGTGTTTTAGGATCTTTTGACGAAGCGGATTATTGGTAGAGGACGTGAGTCAGGTGGCCTTTATCTTCTGGTGGTAAGAGGACGTTGAGTCAGGTGGCCTTTTAATCTTCTGGATAAAACAAGTTTCGTCATCTCTAGCTTGTTGTTGGTCTCTCTCTGCCTCTTGAGGTTCATTGTCGTTTGGTCCATCCTTCATTGACTAACTTTAAAAGAAGTTGGTGTCCGCCAGTTTCAGTCTTTATCGAATTTTTAGAATGTGAAGAATGTGAATCTTGTCAATTTGCCAAACATTATCGTTTACCTTTAGTTCCTCGAGTCAATAAACGGTTTCATCCCCTTTTAAGTTAGTTCATTCTAATGTTGAGGTCCATGTCTTGTGGCTTTCGGTACTTCATAACTTTTGTGGATGATTATTCTCGTGTTACTTGGTTATTTTTGATGAAAACTCGTTCTGAGATATTCTCTATTTTCTGTTCCTTTTGTGCTGAGATTAAAACTCAATTTAATACCTCTGTTCGCATATTACAAAGTGATAATGCTAAAGAATATCTATCTAGTTTCTTCCAATCTTTTATGTCACAAAATGATATTCTTCATCAAACATCTTGTGTTGATACTCCTCAAAATGGGGCTGTAGAAAGGAAAAATCGACATCTTCTTGAGGTTGCTAGGGCACTTCTATTCCAAATGAAGGTCCCTAAACATTTTCGGGTATTCCAAATGAAGGTCCCTAAACATTTTCGGGCGGATGCTGTCTCTACTGCACGTTTTTTGATTAATCGCATGCCTTCTTCTGTGCTTAATGGTGCAATTCCTTATAGTGTCTTGTTTCCTTCTAAACTTCTATTCCCTATTGAACCTTATATTTTTGGTTGTACTTGTTTTGTTTGTGATGTTCGTCCATAGGTTTCCAAATTAGATCCAAAATCCCTTCATTGTGTTTTTCTTGGGTATTCTTGGCATCAAAAGGGATATCGTTTTTTTTCTTCCGATATTGACCGTTATCTTATTTCTGTAGATGTCACATTTTTTGAGAATACTTCAGTTTTTCCTCCTATATATAAGAGTGAGGGGGAGGATGATGAGCTTTTAGTCTACGCTATCCAATTTCCTAGCTCTCTTGCTTCTTCTCTTGTTTCTTGTTCCTGTTCCTGAACTTGCACCTGCTTCCTTGCTACCACGTTCTTGCTACCTTCCTATTTCCCCCTCCTGCACCAGCATCTGTCCGGCCCTCGTTTTGAACAGTTTATTTGCCAGGAGGACCAGGAACTCTTGACTCACTTCCCCCCACCAAAGCCGCGTTCAAGTAGAAGATTCGGTTCCTCCACTCAAACTTGAGCCGTGTGCCATCCACTTCCTCAGGTCAGGACCTTGACCTTTCCATTGCTCTTCGAAAAGGTAAACACAAGTATGCCTATCCTATTTCTTCTCTTGTTAGTTATGATCATTCTTTCTCCTTCCTTCGTTGTTTTTAAAAGTAATCTAGACTGCGTCTCTACCCCTAAAAATTGTTATCCAAACTTTGTCCTATCCTGGTTGGTGTCAGCAATGAGAAGAGGAGATGAACATGACTGCCTTAGATACTAATGGTACTTGGGATCTTGTGCCTCTCCCGGCAGGTAAGAAGGCTATTGGTTGTAAATGGGTTTTTACAGTTAAAATGAATCCTGATGGATCTGTTGCCCGTCTCAAGGCTTGATTAGTTGCTAAGGGCTATTCTCAGATTTATGGCCTTGATTACTCTGATACTTTTTCTCCTGCAGCCAAATTGTCTTCTGTTCGTTTGTTTATTTCTTTAGCAGTTACTTTTGACTCGCCTTTACATCAGTTGGATGTTAAGAATGCCTTTCTTTATGGGGATCTTCAGGAGGAAGTTTACATGGAGAAACCATCAGTCTTTGTTGCTCAGGGGGAGTTGGGTAAATTGTGTAAACTTTGAAAATCTCTTTATGGCCTAAAAAAGAGTCCTCGAGCTTGGTTTGGTAGATTTTGCAATGTGGTACACTAATTTGGCATGCAGAAGAGTACTTCTGATCATTCTGTATTTTTTAGAAGTACTAAGACTGGTTTGATTCTACTTGTGGTTTATGGGTTTGATTCTACTTGTGGTTTATGTTGATGACATTGTTATTATAGGGAGTGATTCAGCAGGCATTACATCACTCAAGTCATTCCTCCAGACTCAACTCCAGACAAGACTTAGGATTGTTGAAGTATTTTTTGCTTATAGAAGTATCTAGGTGTAAGAGAGGCATCTTCTCATCTCAAAGGAAGTATGTTCTTGACTTACTAAAAGAAACTAGAAAGTTGGGTGCCAAGCCATGCAGTGCTCCAATGACTCCTAATTTGCAACTTTCAATTGGTGGTAAGCTATTGTGATGATCCTGAGATGTATAGAAGATTGGTGGGCAAACTGAATTATCTTAGGGCAAACTGAATTATCTTACGGTAACACGTCCAGATATTGCTTACTCTGTGAGCGTCTTAAGTCAGTTAATGTCTTCTCCTACTGTTGTTCATTGGGAAGCTTTAGGACAAATTTTGTGCTACTTGAAAGGTAATCCAGGTCGTGGCCTCTTTTACAGTAATCATGAGCATTTGGACATTGAGTGTTTTTCAGATGCGGCTTGGGCAGGTTCGAAGGTTGATAGAAGATCAATTTCAGGATATTGTGTCTTTATGGGTGAAAACTTGATATCATGGGGGAGCAAGAAACAAAATGTAGTCTCATGATTGAGTGCTGAATCAGAATATCGAGCTATGGTGCAACTAGCTTGTGAAATAATTTGGATTCATCAGTTGTTAGAGAAATTGGGTTCAATTCGTCCTTGCCTGCAAAGTTATAGTGTGATAATCAAGCTGCTCTTCACATTGCATCAAATCTAGTATTCCATGAACGAACAAAACATATCGAGATTAACCGAACAAACATTCGAAGATTAGATTTGTCATTTCATTCGTGAAAAGAATACAACATAGGTGTTATCTCTACAAAGGCACGTTAAAAACGAAGTGAACAGTTAGAATATAAAACAAGTGAACAGTTAGGAGATATCTTTACAAAAGCTCTAAATGGACCTCGGGTAAACTAACAAGTTGGGCATGATTAACATCTATGCTCCGTTAATCAATGCTCCAACTTGAGGGGGAGTGTTAAGGACTAGTTGTAAGTAGAGTTCCGTTAGGAGTTAGATTCCTAATAGGATTATAGTATCTTGTATATGTATATATATGTGTCCCTATTGATGAAAATACAATAACAATATTTTTTCCACATTGAATTACAAATATAATTGAATGCTTTGAAAATCATCAACATTTTTCATGCCACCATTGGAAAGTCACATTCTTAACGAGGGATCTTATTCTTTGACCTGAAACTTGGCAATTTTGTCTATCCTTGTCCATGTGCCTTACAACTTTCTATATTCAGTATTGTTAGACAATTGCCAGTTATTGTTGTATCAATCTGTCTTTGGCTTAAGTCTCAGTTATGATACTAAACTAAATTGCTTCATTTTGTTGTTGCTTGTTTTTGTGATTCTCACCATTAGGTTTTTTGTTGTTTCTGTGCACCAACAGTACTACTTTTTCCACACAGAAATTGTAGAAGTATCACGATTTTGTTCCTTGGTACTACAATGACATGATTGTTGATTTTGGGCTTTGATTAGTGTTAAGGATTAGTTGTAAATAGAACTCTATTAGGAGTTGTAAATAGAACTCTATTAGGAGTTAGATTTCTAATAGGTTTATTTCTAAATAGGTTATAAGTAATCTGTATGTTTATATATGGTATCCCTATTGGGAATGAATCAAATATAAGAAAATAATTCTCTCAACCATGGTATCAGAGCTTCCATTCACAAAAAAAAAAAAAAAAAAAAAAAAAAAGCCAAACTCGCCAAACTCAAATCTCTGTCTCGCACAAAAGCAAGCCATGGGTCAAGGACCATCTGGCAATCGGCAAGGCCTTCCCGGACACAGAAAATCCGATGGAGGTGACAAGAAAGATAAGGAATTCGAGCCAGCAGCACCACCGGCTCGCGTTGGTCGCAAACAGCTCAAGCAAAAAGGACCAGAGGCTGCTGCTCGGTTGCCGACATTGGCTTGAATGCAACCCAGTGAGCAACCCAGTGAGTTGCATCGTCATTCTTGGGCTTATACAATAGGTTTGTTTGCTGCGATTCTATTGCAGCTGTGTCGGGCAGTCCTCTGCTACTGTTGTTGCTTTAATTTGCTGTGGAAACATATTTTTCCTTTGCTGTGACAATTGGTTTAGGTAATTTTTGGTGATTTTCTAGTGATTCCTTATTGCATTAGGGTTTGGCACTGCACCTTTGCTACAGTTATGGGTATTCTGCTTTTGAACCTTCTCCTTTGTCGAGAGCAGTGCAACCCCAGTGAGTTGCATTGTGTTTTTGGCCTTCAGTGGTGTGCTCCGTTTGCCAGATTTTCCTTTGCTGCGTTTTTGAATATTTGCGCTACTGGGCTTCCTCTTTGAGGCATTGATTATGGAAGCTTGAAACAGGGAAGCTTGAAACCAAGCCCTGGAGTGGTTCTGCTACTTTACTATTTGGTATTGGGAATTCTTTATTCACTAATATGAAGGTGGGGGTACAGTTGCTGAGTATGGTAATTAGTGCTTTGGCTGAAAGCAGTAGTTTTGTAAACAGTTGAGCATGATAACACTATGCCTCCAACTTGAAGGGGGAAGTGTTAAGGATTAGTTGTAAATTAGAACTCTATTAGGAGTTGTAATAGAACTCTATTTTAGGATTTTAGATTTCTAATAGGGTTATAGGATCTTGTACTATTAGGAGTTGTAAATAGAACTCTATTAGGAGTTAGATTTCTAATAGGTTTATAGGATCTTGTATGTGTATATATATGTGTCCCTATTGATGAATCAAATATAAGAAAATATTCTCTCAACAATTAGTTAGAAAACTGATGTTAAGTGGATTTCTTAGGATTTGAGACTTTTTTTTTCCTGCTTTTGTAAATTTGCAGCATTGTGATGCAGGACAGATTTTATTTTGTTGTATTGCATATCTGTTATGGTGGCTATAGTATATGCATTATGATGACTACTTGTCTAATAAATGAAACTCTAGTTAGTTAAACTGAAGTTGGATAATGGAAGAAGAAAACCCTAAAAGTCTAGGGTTTTCTAGTAAAGTAGAACTAAATTGGAATCTAGACATTTGAACGTTAATAATTTGAAGGAAGTGAAAATGGCAAGATTAAACTAGATGGAATAAGATGCCTCGGAGTAGTTACTTTTACTGCCTGGGCTCTATCGTATAAAAAAGGACTAAGAAGGATAGGAGAAATATAGAAGCAATACAATTATCTTATCGAAAAATCCATGTTCAGTGGGAGGAATACTCATACCCATCCACTTTTTTGGAGAAATGAACTAGATGAGCTAACAATACTAAGCAACTTGGGCTACCCATCCACTTATACCAAGTTGTGTTGTTTCTTTAACCTTTAAGAGATCTTATAATATTTCTTTCCTTCCTACTCCTAGTAGAATTAACGAGATGGAAAAAGTATGTTATATGTGTTAAAGGCAATAATATAATTGTTTTGAAAAAATCTATTTGCATATGTATTGTCTTATTTTGATGCAGTTATTTAAAAATTGCTAACTAGCTGTGTGTCTATCCAATTTTCCATATGTATATAAGGATCCATGTAGTGTCTGTTAAAGAATGGTTATTTCCTAATGTGTAGTGGTTATTTCCTAATGTGCAGTCATTCAAGCTCCTCAAACAATTCCTTCAGTTAAATTGATCTGGTAGATTGAAGCTTTCAAATCCAGGATTACAAAACCTAGGATGCGTCCCTCTTTATTGAATTACTGGCCACTTCCCTTCACTTTTAAAAATTAATTATGGACTTATGGAGATAACAGGACTGGAGCACTAGAGATCCATCTGCTTATTTCTCCAGCCCAAAATGCAAATTAGCAAGAAAATGGATGTTCTTTTCTGAATCATATTGGATCTGCAACAGAATCCATATCTCAGTTGATTTATGTGTGTTTGTTGCTGCTTATAATTTGCATGGGTGTTCTAATTAGTTTAATTTGTTTTTTCCTCCACTCGTTGACTTGGCACGCTTCAAAAAGTTTTAATTTATTTTATTGCTTAAATCATCTAATTGGCATTCTTCTTCTTTATTGCATTTCACCAATACTAATGAAGGATGTTCTTGGAGTTTGCAGAGTCAAAAATCCAATTGTCGGAGGTGCATATTAGAGTAAGCAATATTTGTGATCTTCTCTTTCTTGCTATTTTTATCGTCTCATCTTTCCAACTTAAGAATTTTTTCTTACCTTTAGTAATTCTTTGCTCATCAATATTGTTAATGCTCATTGTTATAGTGATGATGACGAAGATAAGATTGTTTGGAATGTGAAATGCCATTACACTCAGGCTGAAATTGAAGGATCCATCTTTAGTATTGGAGATTGTGCATATATAAAGGTAAATGCTATTTATGAGAATCTAAAAATTAAAGACATTTCTCTACCTTTCCTATACCTTTTCTACACCTAGATGGTTGATTCATACATTCTTCTATGTTATTTCTTTTTTCACTTATTTCTTTACTTTTACGCCTAATAGGATTGTCTACCCCAAACTTTACGTGTGTTTGCAATTGTTTTAAAATTTAAACAATTGTACCCAGATTTGAAAACTTGTTTGCAAGTGTAGCATATTTTTCAAAATCGAAATAAAAGATTAATAGTTTGTTTTTGATGTAAATAAAAAATCAATTTTCTTAATTTTTATTTTTTCTCTCCTTTTTTCTTTCTCCTCTCTATCATTGCCACCCAAGCACCAACACCATCACCACCATAGGTCCTAATTCAATCATCACCACCTTCAATTTCAACTCCCCCACTTTTCAAACTCCAATATAAACCTTCAAAACACTTAGTGGACATTTTAGCTTTTATCTATCTTCAATTTTTCAAACTCCAATTAGAGGAAATTGGCTTCAAGTTATCCTTGCCTGCAAAGTTATGGTGTGATAATCAAGTTGCTCTTCACATTGCATCAAATCCAGTATTCTATGAGCGAACAAAACATATCGAGATTGATTGTCATTTCATTTGTGAAAAGATACAATAGGGTGTTATCTCTACCAAGCGCGTTAAAACAAGTGAACAGTTAGGAGATATCTTTACAAAAGCTTTAAATGGACCTCATGTTAACTATCTTTGTAACAAGTTGGGCATGATTAACATCTAAGCTCCAACTTGAGGGGGAGTGTTAAGGAGTAGTTGTAAATAGAGTTCTAATAGGAGTTATAGATTCCTAATAGGTTTATAGTAACCCTGTATATGGTATATATATATGGTGTCCCTTATTGATGAAAAAAAATTAGAGAATATTTTCTTCCACATAGATTCCTAATAGGTTTATAGTACCCTGTATATGTATATATATGTGTCCCTATTGATGAAAAAAGATATAGAGAATATTTTCTTCACACTAAAATTACATAGACTTATAGCATGGGCTATGTCTAGTCTAGTGTGCGAAAGTTATATCAATTTCCCTACTAATCTTTGATATTGACCTCGGGTCAACTGTCTTCCATTCCCGTTTGTAATTGGTGATCAACTTCTAATCAAAGAATCGACTGCTTTACAACCCAATATGCCAGTCTATCCAAAGAGATCTATGTTTTTTCTTTGAGATACCCTTTATCTGATCTAGCAACTTCTATACCAAGAAAGTATTGCAAATTCTCAAATCTTTAATCTCAACTCCTGAGCCAGTAGCTTCTTTAGGGCGAGTAATCTCCTCTTCATCATCTCCAATTACAACCATAACATCAACATGGACAATAAATAGTGTGATCTTACTATTATAGTGTCTAATAAACAATTTATAGTCATTATTACTTTGGGAGTATTCAAAAGCAATCATGACCTTACTGAATCTATCAAACCAAGCTTTAAGTGACTGCTTCAATCTATATGATGCCTTCTTTAATTTGCAAACCCTTTAGTATTCTCATTGTCAAAACCTAGAGGAATTTCCATATACACTTCTTCTAAGTCTCTATGTAAGAAAGCATTTTTGACATCAAACTGATGTAGTCCCCGATCCAGATTGGTTGCAAATGAAAACAAAATTCTAATAGTATTCAACTTTGCAATTGGGGGGCAAAGTATCTTGGTAGTCAACTTTATAGTTTTGAGTGAATCTTTTTTCTACCAATTTGACTTTGTACCTTTTAAGTAAGCCATCTGCCTTATGCTTTATAGTGGGCAAATTATCTGACTTTCTGAACTTAGTGTCTTATGGGACAGTCTATTAATGAGGTATGCTGCAGACAGGACTGCATATCTCCAAAAAGTCTTAGTAATATTCATAGTAAACAAAAGAGATCTAGCCACCTTTAATAAATGCCTATTTTTTCTTTAAGACACTCCATTTTGAGCACTCATGTTGATGCAACTAGTTTTATGTATTGTTCCATTTTAACCTAAAATATGCTTGAAACACACTATCCATGTTCTTAGTTCTGTTATCAGTTTTCAAAATTTTAATATTTGTATCAATTTTTGTACTAATCGTTTTATGAAATAATTTGAAATAGGAAAACACTTCATTCTTAGCTTTCATTGAGTAGACCCAAATTAATCCGTTACAACAATCAACAAATGTGACAATCCATTTATAATGACACAATGAGACTGTAGAAGTAAGTCCTATTACATCAGAATGAATAGCATAAAAGGAACTAAGTTCTTATTATTATGAGAAAAATAAGAATGCCTAGCATGTTTAGTAAATTTTCAAGAATCACCAAACTAAAGATTCGAAGTGGCAATATTTAAATAATCTAGTATATGATTTCCTTACCATAAGAAAGGATGCTGTCCTAATTGTCTATGCCACTGAATTATTTCCTGATGAGCATTCCTATAGTTTCCTAATAGGGCTTGGGTAACATTAGGTGCCACAGTACTGCAACCTCTTTCAAGAAGATATAAGACATTGTGCAATCTGCCAAATCCAATCATTTTCCCTATTCTCAAATCCTATAAGACACAAGGGTTAGACAAAAATTCAACTTTACAATGGAGAAATTGGAGAATGAAGAACATAAGCTAAATTATTGATTGATGTGCATTTAATGGAACCTGGAGCTAAAGAACCATTTGCTATATGACCTGTACCCTTACCAAAACATAGTGAATAGGTTAAAAATTTATTGGAAGAGCCTGTCATATGTCTATTTGCTCTAGAATCTATAACCCATGGATCATTATGAGAATCAAGATTGGGAAGGAAAATGATAGATGATTGTAAAAAATTGGAAGAGGTAGCTGAGGTAGATGGAGAATCAAATTTTGATAAAAGACGCCTTAGGGTTTGAACCTTTTCATTATAGTGTCCCAACAGTTGATGGTTTTGACTTCTCTACTACTTCAGCTTGATGTGCTAAAGTTCTTGTTCAATCTACCTGTTTACCTCCACGACCCCTAGTTGGTTGGCCATGCTTTATGCTATGCTTTTATCTGCTGTTTGATATTGCTCTGGATTGTTTTGTATTGGAATATCTGCCAATTTATAAAGTTAGAATGTTATGCCTATTCTCATCCTTTGACATTTTGTAGAGCACATGACTAGAAATGAAAAATATTTCCAATAAATATAAAGTGCTACAGTTTCCTGTTATGGAGTCCATAACAATTGTTCTACATAGAGATTGTGTCTGTTGGGATATACCATATTTTTCCTATCTGAAATTAATCTTGTTCAATAGATTCCTTACTTCTAGTGTTGTTTGTTCTTTTGGGCTTTATGAGATGATTTTTTTTTTTCTCCCCAATTACTTTTGATTTGTTTCTTTGTTTCTCAATCAAGTGTTTACTTTATTAAATGTAGAATTTTGCAAGGTTTCATTCATCTAAATGCTACTATAAATGAATCCAGTTTATTAGGTTAAGTGCTCTGACTTTTTATGAAGTCTTTGATAGAAGCTCCTTTCCTCAACACAAATTAGTAGATGAAGAGTCCAGGAAGAGGCAAAAACATGTTGGGTAAACATAAAATTTAACGATTTTGGCCATGTAAATGATTTACATTACAATCAATTGCTGCAGGGTGAAGGAGGGAAAAAGCATGTTGGCAGGATTTTAGAGTTTTTCAGAACTACAGATGGAGAGGATTTTTTCAGGGTCCAATGGTTTTATAGAGCTGAAGATACTGTAAGTGAACAGACATTGATTAATATGCTTTAAATTTATGATCTTTATCTTCTTAATGTTTTTTTTTTTCTTTAATAATTTGTTTTCTTAGGTTATAAAAGGAGAGGCTGCTTTACAAGATAAGAAGCGTTTATTCTATTCCACTCTAATGAATGATAATCCAATAGAATGCATTATTTCAAAAGTCAGTGTGGTCCAGATACCGCCTATGGTATGGTCAGCCTTGATCTATTCCTTTGAATTTAATTTGTTTTCTTGGGCGGTTTTTCATATTTCTGAAGGCCTTTCCCAATTCTTTGAAGGCATTGTGCCTATCCTCTCTATTAATTAGTTGATGCTGCGTCCTTTGTTGTTCAATTAACATATTATTTGTTTCAGATAGGTTCAAAGTTTCTTTCCACTCCTTCTGACTTTTATTTTGATATGGAGTACACTGTTGATTATTCATCATTCCGAACATTGTTGATCAGTAAGTACTTTGATCTGCTCCTGATACCAAGCTGCTAGTTCATGGCACTAAGTTGTTGCATGACAAATAATGATAACAAATGGACATTAGCATGAAAAAAATCTGCACCTGCATTGTTTAAATTTATCCAAATCTTAATTTTGCCATTTTTAATGATTTCAGAATTCGGTTGAAATCATGTCATTTAGTCAAAATTGTTAAAAATTGCAAAACAAAATTAACAACTTAGCATAATAATAATTAAGAAAATAGCAATAGTATTTTTTCACTCCGTGTACGAAAAATAACAATATTATCTCTCTGTTCCTCTCACCATCAACGTCTTTCATTGTTCTTTGTCCTCCATCTGCCATAAAACCCCACTTCACTTCATCATCCACTGCAATCTTGTCATCATTTCTTGGCTTCAAATAAGTATGCTCAATTTCACTTCAAAAGATATAGAGGCCAAGGTTTTAAATCATGGTCCTAGCACAGACGCAGTAGTTTACTATGACCAAAGTGTAACAAACATGGTCGATGCTGTCATGAATTTGTTTATAAAAAATTATAGTACTAATTGTGTCTGTCATGGCTAGAACCCATGGTTTGTCACCATAGCTAGGATGTGAGTAGAATTAAGGTAGCTGTGGCGCGTTATCAAAATCATACAATTCACGATTTGAATGGTACTATGAGTCAATGTTTCATGCCAAAGGATTCAAATCTGTTGATTTTAGGTGTTTTGAGAGAAAAATAAATTTTCTCTTGATGATAATCTATACAAAGGATACACACACACACACACACACACACACACACACACACACACACACACACACACACACACACAAAGGATACACACACACACACACACACAACACACACACACACACACACACACCACACACACACATACAAGTTATTATCCTAGAATAGGAAATATTCTATAGTCCTAGTATAGGAAGTATTCTATAATCTTATACACACACACACACACACACACACACACACACACACACACACACACACACACACACATACAAGTTATTATCCTAGAATAGGAAATATTCTATAGTCCTAGTATAGAAGTATTCTATAATCTTAGTATAGGAAGTAAATACAAATATGAAGTTTCATAAAATAGGAAGTAATTAGTCAAACGCTCTTCCTCAAGTCGGTACGTAGATATCACACATGTCCAATAGCAAATTAAAGTATGAAACGCTTTGACCCTTGGTAGACACATTAGCTAGTTGTTCTCCTAAGGACACATGAAAAATCTTCAAAATACCATGCATTTTCTTGTCTTTTATAAAGTGCCAATCAACCTCAATATGGTTTGTTTGGTCATGGTAGATTGGATTATGAGTTTTGTTTTTTTATGTGAAGAGTGAAAAGTTTCTATTTTTCATTTTGTGTAAATAATGGTTATACATCTATTAATACATAGGGAGTATATTGAAATACCTAGTCTACCCTTTACACTTAAGATCAATAAATATCACATAAAACTCTACCAGCTAACACTCCCTCTCAAGTTGATGCATAGATATTAAGTATGCCCAACTTGCACACTAAATTGTGAAAAAGTTTTTGCTACTTATCCCCTTAGTGAAGATATCTGCCAGTTGATTATCTGATGTCACATGAGTAAGCCTCAAGACACTCTGGTTGATCTTCTCTTTTATGTAGTGCCTGTCAATCTCTATGTGTTTTGTTCTATCATGCTGAACCGGATTCTGAGCAATGCTAATAGCGGCCTTGTTATCATAGAACAAGGTTGAGGCTCCAGACTCCGAAAGTTTCAATTCACCCATTAACTGTCTCACCCATAACATCTCACAAACTCTTAGGGCCATGGCTCTATACACAGCTTCTGCCATTCAAAAGGGTTATAAGTGCTATCATCCTCTCATATTGAAAATACTTTGTAAGCATAGATGTGACATTTAGAGAATCTTAGCCATATTTTCCCCAAACTCCTAAGCGGAGATTAGAATAAAGGAGGTAGCTCCTGTATCTGTGTTTGTTCTTGAACAATTTTTGAATCTAAAACTAGCAATGAGCAAGAACCTAATGATGAGCAAGAACCAAAAAGAGGTAGATTATATTAGAGGTACAATCAAAGGGGGAAGATTAATGCCATCGAGCATGATATACTTGGTCAAACGTTATCCTTGTAATCAATTCCTGAAACTCCAAGGAGTGGGTTTATAACTCCTGGTTGTTTCTAATTTTGATTTTAATCCTATAGTTGATGATATTGATATACCCATTGCTCCAGGAAAGGAGTTAGAACTTGTATCAAACACTCTATATCTTGATTTGTTTCTTATGACTCCTTATCTCATTCCTATAGAGCATTTGCATTGTTTGTTTCTTTTATTTCTATCCCACAGAAGGCAAAAAGCATATTAAGATTCAAAATGGAAAGAGGCAATGGTGGAGGAGATGAAAGCCTTGACAAAAATTGTAAGTTCGTAGCTTGTTACTTTGTCATTAGAAAAAGACTAGTGGATGCAGATGAGTATTTACTGTAAAGCACAAGACAAATGGGACAATTGAGAGGTGCAAAGCTAGATTGGTGGCAAAAGGATTTACTTAGACCTATGGAGTGGACTATCAGAAGGCTTTCGCTCCAGTTACATAGATGTACGCTACTAGAATTTTTTTGTCATGTGCAACCAACCTACACTGGGGCTTACATTAGTTTGATATCAAAAATGTTTTTTTACATGGAAACTTAGAAGTGTAAATGGAAATTCCTCTAGCTTTTGACTATGAGAAAGTTAAAGGAAAAGTTTGTATATTGAAGAAGGCATTGTATGGGTTGAAGCAATCACCTAGAGCTTGGATTGAGAGGTTCAGTAAGGCCATGATTTTTTTTTGAATATTCTTAAAATAATGTTGATCATATCTTATTTATTAAACACTATAATGGTAAGATCACACCACTAGTTGTCTATGTTGATGATATAGTTGTAACTGGAGATGACAAAGATGAGATTGCACACTTGTTGGAAACTCCAAAATAAACCTCTACCACATCCAAAGGCAAATATAGCCACTCATGATCTTACCATAGCTTCACCATCTGCGCAATCAGTCACGATTTCTGCAAAAGAATTTGCAAGGTTTTCCTAGTATTAGGCGTCCTTAAAGTTTGCCAAATTCCTCTGTTGCTGCCATTGTTGATTCAAGTAAACCTAATTCATATCTGTAGCTTCCTCGTTGAAATGGGTTATTGATTCTGTTTGTGCAAATCATATGACAGGTAATTCTAGCCTTCTAACTTCTTCTAAGGTTAACTCATGGCTCTCATTCTTCTGTTATGGGTACTAGATCAGCTAATTCTACTTCATCTCTTTCCTTATACTCTATTCTGTGTCTATGTAAATATTTCTCAATTTACTCTCCGTTAGCAAGATACACGAGTATTAAATTGTTGCGTAAAAGTTTTCCTAACTATTGTGTATTTCAGGATCTTATGACGAAGCAGGTTATTTGTAGAGGACGTGAGTACGGTGGCCTCTATCTGCTTGATGAACAAGTATCATTATTTCTTGATTGTGTTGGTGCTTTGTCTCCGTTTGAGGTGCATTGTCGATTATGCCATCCTTCCTTATCCGTTTTGAAAAAGTTATTTCCACAATTCCAGTATTTGGTTTATTTAGATTGTGAGTCATGCTAGTTTGCTTTACATCATCGGTGCTTTGTTAGTTCTCTAGATTCCATTTCTATTCCAAAAACTATTTTTGAAGCCTGCTGCAACGGAAGAAGAAATTGTGGATTTAGATACTAATTGTACTTAGGAACAGGTGCACTTACCTCCAGCAAGAAAGCTATTGGTTGTAAATGAGACCCTGATGGATCTATTGCTCGGCTTAAAGCCCGCCTTGTTGCTAAAGGTTATGCTCAGACTTACGGGGTGGTTTACTCAAATGCCTTCTCTCCAGTGGCAAAAATGGCTTTATTAGATTTTTCATTTCTTTTACAACTTTTGATTGGTTGCATCAACTGGATATCAAGAATGCTTTCATCCATGGAGACCTTCAAGAGGAAGTTTATATGGAGCAACCACCTGGTTTTTGTTGCCCAAGGGGAGTTGGGCAAAGTCTTCAAGCTTCGAAATCTTTTTATGGTTTGAAACAAAGTCGTCGAGCATGGTTTGGGAGGTTTTTTGAGGTAGTATAGCAGTTTGGAATGAGACAAAGTAAATCTCATCATTCGGTTGTTTTATAAGAATTTTGAAGCTGGTGTAATCTTTTTTGTGGTTTATGTTGATGATATTGTCATTACTAGAAGTGATTTTGCAGGTATTGCATCACTCAAGGTATTCCTTCAAACCCAGTTTCAAACCAAAGACTTGGGATTGCTAAAGTATTGTCTAGGTATTGAGGTTTCTAGAAGTAAGAAAAGTATCTTCGTGTCTCAAAGAAAGTATGTCCTTGATTTGTTGGCAAAAATAGGAAAATTGGGCGTCAAACCATGCAATGCACCAATGACTCCTAATCTTCCACTTGTAACAGAAGATAGTGAGCTATTTAATGATCCTGAGGTGTATAGGAGACTAGTAGGCAAGCTTAATTATCTTACGATAACTCGTCATGACATTGCATATTTTGTTAGTGTTGTGCACATTGGGATGCTTAAGGGCAATATTGTGTTACTTGAAGGGTGCTCCAGGTCGTGGTATCTTGTATACCAATCATGAACATTTGGATATTGAATATTTCTTAGATGCAGATTGGGCGAGATATGTCAAGGCAATAGAACAGCTAGGAGATATCTTCACTAAATCTCTAAATGGGACTTGGGTTGACTACATTTGTAATAAGTTGGGCATTGTCAGTTTATATGGAAAAATATTTTCTTCTATTCGATTCATCAATAGGGACACATATATATACACATACAAGATACTATAAACATATTAGAAATCTAACGCCTAATAGAGTTCTATTTACAACTCTTAATAGAGTTATATTTACAACTAATCCTTAACACTCCCCCTCAAG